ATAGTTGTACATAATGATGGGTAAGTAATTATATTTTCTTGGCTCTCTTTTTTCATGTCTCTTGGTTTGGAAATTGTACTGTTTCTATGCTCTCTATACTTTTTTTGCATCTCACCCCCTCTACCCCACTCTTTTCCTTCTGGGTTTGACTTTCATTTTCTTGAAGACAGCCTTTGTAAATTCTTTCAGTACAAGTCTGTTAGTGGTAAATGCTGATTTCCTCTGAAAATCTTTATTTTGCCCTCACTTTTAAATGTTTTACTAGGCATACAATTCTAAATTGACAATTGCAATCATTTTTATTTTAGTATTTTAAGATATGATCTCATTGAATTCTAGTTTCTTTTTTTGTTATTAATAAACAAACTGTCATTCTGTTATATTTTATCTTTTTCTTTCTGTTTAAGACTTTCTGTTTTTTTTTTATTGTCTTTACATTTAAGTATGTGTGTACAGTTGAATTTGTTTTGTATTTCCTTAGGGTATCTATCCTGGAGTGACTTGCTGTATATAGAAAATTTTCCTTTCAGCTTTTCTATGCAAGGCTGAACTGTTTCCCCAAATGATTTTATCAGTTCACCTTCCTATGCATTTTCCACTCCTTACACTACATTGTATCACCTGAATTTTTTTTAACTGTTTTTGAGAGAGAGAATTTTTTAATATTTATTTATTTATTTTTTTAGTTTTCGGTAGACACAACATCTTTGTATGTGGTGCTGAGGATCGAACCCGGGCCGCACTCATGCCAGGTGAGCGCACTACCGCTTGAGCCACATCCCCAGCCTGTGTCACCTAAATTTACGTCTGCTTATTTTAGAAAATTCTTGTCAGCAAATCAAGGAAGACTGCCTCTCCATACCACAAATAAGAAAGAAAAGGTTGAACTCCTATGTCAGTCACCTTAGATGTGAGGGAATCATCTCATGTCATGTAAAACTATGAGTTTATTTAGTTTTTTAATTTTTAACAAACTTTAACAAACTTTGTTTGATATTTATCAACTCTTCGAAGATAAACTTTGTTGAAAACAAACTTATTTCATTGTTCTGAACTTTTCACTTAACATACTAAAAAAATGAATCTGTCCATTCATTTGGAATTGGCAAGAAATGGGAGTCTTTTCTAATCTTTAGATGAAAATTTCCTGAAGCCATTTTTAGAAGTTCTATTTGGTACTTTCTCAAATTTGTGTACTTCAAACACAGATGGACTCTATTCTTTATCATAGTAATATTTTTTTTGTGTGGTTTAAGAATTTAATGAGCCATAAGACACATAAAACATGTACAACTGTGTCTGTTGTTTCCCAGGATGACCACAGTCAAATCCCAACCCACACAGTCCATGAGCTTCAAGTGTGTTTCATGTGTTAGCTCATCTAGGAGCTTCCTGCTGGAGGGCCTTCCCACATGGTTCCCTCTGCAGGAAAGGTCCGTCCAGCATTCCTGCCTGGCCTGTGCCTTAGTGCCCTTACACCTCACTCTGGGCAGCCTTGCTAAGACTCGTGGTGGCAACAGTGCCATTAGGGCTTGTGATTGTGTGTGAATGTGGTGTTCCTGAGAGGTTCCATCAGGATGAGGAGACTATTTTGTTCCTCACTGTATCCCTGCCATTCCTTAGGCATGACTTGATGGAGAGTCTCCTGTGAAGATAGGGACCTAATGACTGTCCTTCCCTCATCTGGACAGAACTTCCGCATTTATTTCACTCCAGTCTTTCTGAGGCAATCTGTCATCCAGATTTCCTACCTCGCCCACAGTGGGGTGACTAGACTTGTCTCAAATTAGCTACTGTGTTCTTAACTACCAAGTGATATCTTCACTGTCTTTCTAAAGTCCACCAAACCAAGAAGAGCCTGGTCAGGCAGGGAGGCCCGACCCCACACTGTCCTGTCAGTGCTCTGCCCTCAGCCCTCAGTCCCTCATTTGGCTGCATGCCTGTGGCCTGACCTCATGCCTGGACCACTCAGCTGCTCTGAGCTTTTGTTGCTACGTTTCATCTGCTCTTCTCACCCAGTACCAAGACTATTTTTTCCCAGGCAACCTTTCTCAATTATTTCATGCAGCTACCCTTTCTCTAAATTCCTTAGCCCTTACCTTTAAAACTATTGGGGCAATATTTAATTTTATGCATTGAATTCTCCTTCCTAGTTCACTCTTCTTCCCTGAGCAAGCAGTGTAGGACTGAGCCCAACCATTTTCCCTAAACCAAAGAAGTCTTCTTACAACCCATGTTCAGCACCTTCCCCAGCACATGGGTGGTACTACAAAGATCCCTTTCAAATTCAATAACCCAGAAATCACTTCACAGTTTTTACAAAGAATACCTCCTAGTAGGTTTCAGAGGCCATAGGTACAGGAAATAGCCAATCTGTAGTCAGTACCTCTGGGACAAAAATCAATTGAGCAGCAGGAACAGCACCCACCAGATACAGTGAGATCCAATCTGTCTGCTTGACTACCTGGGAGATGCTGATGGGGCAGGAGCTGACCTGGAAGGTGGAAGCATGGCACCCATATGAATGTGTGTGGATGTGGTATCCCCCGAGAGGACATCACTGTCCCCACTATCACTGCAATAATTTTATTTTTTGTTTAACTATTTAATGTTTCTGATTGTTTTCAGAACTTAAAAAGACTGTCCACATTCTTTTCAGTATTTAGGGAAAACTACTTCTTGATGAACCCAGTCTAAATCCATTTTAAGATTGGGATCCATCTCATCACAAAGTCATGAGAAGTTAATTTCTGTTCTACTATAAATTACTTCGATTTCTAAACTTGTTTGGAATTCCTGCCCGTGCCTTGAACTCACCCATGCCTGGCTCCTCCTGAGCAGAGAACAACCCTCTCTGAAACCTCAGTGGTGTCTCATAAATTCTGATGTTGGGATCTAAATTTATTCCCTACCTTTAACTGTTAAGCCATGTAGATCATTAACCTACTATAAGCCTTTATATTGTGCTTGTCAAAATCCTGTTATCTGTAAGTTCTCAAAACACTCCCCTTTGCAACTTTTTGTGCTATAAAACCTTGTTCCTGAGAGATGGGTGCTGTTCTCTGGCCTGGGATTTGAGGTGAGACAGTCACTGGCCCCCTTTTGTGTACACAAATACAAGCTTACTTTAATTTGATTTAAAATTGGAGTCCGTGGTCTTTTCTTTGTCACAGGGTTCAATACTTCTAAGTTATTTTAGACAAATAATTGACATTTAGTTTTTTTTTTTGTGGTTGCTATCTTACAATATTTTGAAAGTAGGCAGTTCTACAACTGTTTACGTGCTATCTGTACTTTATAGGAAGAGACAAGAAAACACAAACTGTTGGGGTGGAAGGTGTAATTCAGTGCTTGAGTACTTGTCTAGCTGATGGGAGGCCCTGGGTTCAACCCAGCATTGCCAAAAACAAACTAACAAAAGACTGTCAGTCACAAAGCTTGAAAGCTTATTTCCTTTTATTTGTTTTCATAAGGAGATAATTAATGGTGTGTTTGAATCATGTGCCCTATCAACTCTTCATGTTTTGAAAGCCATAATCAAGATCTATGCCAATCTTAACTGCCTAGTCCACATTTAGGYCACTCATATTGCCTCATCCACATTTTTAAAAATTAGTGCATTTTCCCAGTCTATCTTCTTCCAATCTGCTTCTACTCAACACAAATGGGAGAATATCTGTTTCTACAAGGTGTCTCAAAATTAAGTCTGCCTAAATGCAGTACAAACAAAACAGGATCTTGTTTACAACTGAAACAACTATGCCAATTATAATTTGAAGAAAAGATTGAAGCCACAATAAAATGTTCTGTATTCAAGGTGTCTAAGAAATTAACAGAGCTCTTCTCTGTGCTTTTTAACCCATGTTAACTGTTTTTCAATGTCATGCAAGAAATCTGTGATTTAATATAGAATCCAATTTTAGATGATTTAATGAAAAATGTTTTGGAGATATTTTAGGCATTTTATACGAATTACAGTAGCTTTCGCAGTAATATTTCTGATGCTGACTTTTATTTACGTCTTTTTAAAAGAGAGAATTACATAAATTTAGGTGTTGATTATCTTCTTAAATCGATGAAGGTTTAAGGATACATAGGTGACGCAGAAGATCAAAGTCATTTTGGTGGTCTTTATTTTGCAATTTTAGAGAACAGCTGGGCTTTCCCGATTCCAGTGTCCTACCTTCGCAGGCATCCTGAAGCGGTCAGCTGCACCCAGTGGTATGCACTGACCTCCACCCTTGTCTCCTTTTAAAACCCCCGTGCTGAGGATCTGCAGAGCCTGCTAAAGGCGACTGAGTGCTTCGAGGCCAAGCGGATGCAGCACCCACGCTCTAACAGTGCAGCCCGGACCCGCCGAGGCTCACTCAAAAGCAGCGGGCCGGGCCTTCCGGCTCAGCAAGAGGCCGCCAGGTTCGGAACGGCGAACCCAGCGGCAGCCGGGTCGCAGAGCTCGACGGCGCGTGGCTACCAGATGCCGAGGTCACGCAGCTCGGGGCCAGTCCGCCGGCTAGCGCTAGGACTGGCGGGTCGCCCCTACCAGCAGGCCTTGGGTCTCGCCCGTCCGCCCCCGGCCCGGGCGCGGTGCAGGGACGCGACCTCGCCCTGGCCTCCCGGGCCGCAGGGAAGGCGGGTCGGCGCCAGACCAGGTCCGCCTGGCGGTCCGTCAGCGGGAGCGCCCAGGCCCGCCCACCGCGGCCGGTCCCCTGCAGGTCAGCACCCCGCGGTCAGGAGMGGCTCCTGCAGCTGCACTCGGGTTGCCCAGAAGGCCACCGCACCCTGCTCTTCCCTGCCTTCCCTTCCAGGGACAGCAATCACGCGGCGGAGAACGAGACTCGCGAACTGGGCATCCTCCCAGCGCGGCCGGGACTAGCAGCGCGACTSGATGGCGCGAGGGTGGGGAGGAGCCTCAAAAGGCAGCGCTGCTGCCCAATGGCGGCTCCACGCCCCCGGGCGCGGGCCAATGGGGCACGCGGGGCGGGACTTCCGCCTCGCCGGGTGGTGCCGTGCCCGCGCCTCCGCGGGGCTGAGGGGCCGGGCGGCGTTCAGTTATGAAGTCTGGGTAGGACTTCTCCCTCAGCGACGCGGCTCGCGAGCTGTCCCGCGGCCCGGCTTCCAGGTAAGACCGTGGAGCTCGGGGCGCCGCGCTGCGCTGTCCCCAGGGCCTCGCGGGTCGCGCCCCGCGCGGGCTCAGCGGCGGCTGCTGGGTCTGCGCCGCCGCTCGCGGCCGGCCGCTGAGGCACCGGCTCTCCGCAGCGGAGCAGCCGCGCCACGCCCTCGGAGCCGCACCCCGCCGGCGTCCGAAGCGTCGGCGTCCKCCGCGGTTTTTAGGTGGCCTTCGGGGGCGGCAGAGCCTGGCCGGTGCTCGGAAGCGTCTCTGGTCCAGCACTTTGCCGCAAAGTCCTCGGCGAATCTCCGGACTTTAGTTGCGAGGCCTCTTTAGTCTTTGGAAAAAAATTAAAAAAGAAAAAAGGCAGTCACTTCCTTCCTTTCTCACTCACCCCCCTGTTCCTTCCTTAAGTGCCCAGCCTGCGGGCCGGAGGTGACCCCGCTGGAGCCAGGCTGCACGGCCGCCAGGACGCTGCTGAGTTGACCTGCTCAGGCGAGAGCTCTGCCCCCGACGGGCAGCCGGACGAGGTGTAGCAGAGGCAGTCGTGCAACTTTGGGAGCAGACGCGACATGTTCTCTGGCTGCTTTTGGTAGATTCCTCTATTTTGTCCTCATCTAGCAGTGGTACATTTCCAAAACTATGGTGTCATCCTCAGTTTCAGCACCGTGGGCAGCTGCTGAAATCCTACGGTTGCCCCAAACCTGCCTGGCTGTCCCTTTCGTCAGTGATGTAGCAGGAACARTGAAGCTAATGCATTCCTTTTCAACAGTGCTGTGTTATTCTCCAAGAGGAACATCCGCATTTTTTTTTWAATTTTATTCAGTGCAGATGAGTAAGGTGGTGTGCCTCCAAAGAGAAGCAGGTCGATTCAAAATTTAAGGAAGGGCTTTCAGGGTCTTATCTGTTTTAAGAACAGGTTTTAATGGGTTGAGGAGATAGCGCCTTTTCAAAGTAATGCAACTGGATTTTGATAGGTTAAGCAGAAGTTAAGTGTGCAGCGCTGAATTCTGGTCAGTAGGGATTTATTAATGGATTTTGGAGTCAACTTAGTGCATTAATGTGGGCACTAAAAAAAAAAAAAAAAAAAAAAGAAAAACTGCCAACTGCCAGAGGACATTTTAGGGAGTAAGAGTAAATATTAATTAATGAAGCTTTTGTTTCAGACTTTTAAAAAACGCTTGTGTCAAGATGAAGGTGTAAATATAAGGCATATTATCATATTATGGCAAAAACAAATATTTCATAATAAAGGATTTACAATTTGTGAGTCAGGCAGGGTACAGCTCTACCACTTACTAATTCTGTGACATCAATAAACAAGGAAAGAGTTGTTGTGAGGATTAAATGAAATAAAATGTGTCTGTTGCATAGTTACGCCTCTAAGTTTTTTTTTTTTTTTGGATAGAAGTACAGTTATTTCTCTATGTAAGGAACAACAACTGTTGTGTGTGTGTGTGTGTGTGTGTGTGTGTATAATATTTAAATATATTTTAAACCTTTTTCTCTGAAGTTAGCTAGTTTGGTGTCTTGTCTCCATGTATAATGTAAATAAGGTGGGTAAAACTTTGGCTTGGGAAATTTAATTCTGAAGGCTTCAAGTCAGGTTCTTATTTGTCCTTGTTATTTCTCTCAGCATTTTAGTGGGGCCTGAATTGATGCTAACATTCAGCTCTCTTCCCTTGATGTTTTCTACTCTATATCCCAGAGTAACATATCAGTTTTTCAGACACAGATTTTAGTAAAGTGAGGGTAGAACTTAAGACTGAAGGGAGAGGTTTAAATCTCAGTTGAGTTGGATAGCAAGGCATTTTATGTTTTGTGGTTGCTGCCATAAATTTTTATAAAATGAAGTGGCTTAGTCAAATATTTAGTATGCTTACTTCATGTTGGTGTACCTAAAAATGGTTGGCTTTTAAATAAAAGGTATGATTTTGGGCACTTAAAGATCTCTGAATTAATTTTTAGCAGAAGACAAAATGAGTTTGAAGAAGAATAGTGTTTTGCACTCTTTGACATGTTACTGCCATATGGCATTACATATGGTAGTTTCACATGACATAGAAAGGGGAAGAAAGTTGGTAAGCATTGTTAGTTTCTCAGAAGAGGAAACAGAATTAGTAGAAAAGTGAATTCCTTTTAAAAAAGCATGGTGGTGAATCATGGGTAAAAAATCATATATTGTGCAGATATTTATTGAGCATATGTAAGTTTTTACATTTCATTGATTTGCGAACAATGAGAGCATAAGACTGATATTGTCAAAGTTTATATGTCAGCATATAAGTAACAACAGAATAATAAGATTGTTTGCTTTTGGCCAAGTACATTTCTTAGTACTTTGTGTTATTCAGCATAATTCTCACAGTCTTCACTGTGGTAGATATTAGGATTATCCCCTTTTTATATGGGGAAACTAAGGCATCTCAGATACATAACTTGCTGAGCTCATATAGGTAGTTGGTGGAAGAGCTGGAAGTTGAACTTAGGTATCCTGACTATCTAAAGCCTGCCCCTCTCATATTTCATTTAAAAAATACAGGATGCTTTTGGGCTGCTATAGGTTTTTAACTTAGATGACTTTGGGTAAACCCATTTTCCATAACTCCTGGTCCAGTGTCTGGGAAGTGGGAGAGTTTGCAAAGCAGTAGACAGTCTGCCTTCAGTAAATGAGATGCCTCAGCCTTTCCTTTTGTTGAGGATGTGGCCATTTGAAAGATGGCTGGTGATTGGAAGAGGATGGGAGAAGAATTGTAGTTCCACACTAGGACACTGCCCCAGCAGAGCTGTGGAGGTTGGAAGGGAGAGTCCATGATTGTGTGTTTAGGGACCTGGGTGGTCAAGAGAGGGATGCAGATCCTGGAGCTCCTCAAGTGTCAGACTGAAGACTTTGTATGTGATTTTTTTTTAATATATAATTTTTAGGTAGGAATTCCATGGAGTCTAGTTACAGCAGTGTAGGCAAAATGTGATGATTGTAATGAAGAGCAGAAGATTCAAAAACACTTGACAGTGACCTTAGGAACCGACACAAGTATGGGCCTCAGATAAACTTTTGGAAAAATAGTACTGCTGATAACAGAAATAAGGCTATTGTGATGAAGAACAGGTTTTGGTGGAAGGGCATTTGGGAGGAGAGAAAATGACAGGGAATGTTGTTTTGGAGCTGAGGAGTTGTTCAGACATTTGGAAAGGGAAGGTGAAAACTAGAAGCTCTGATTGTTCATTGAAGGGAAGAAACCCTGTGCTGACCCTGGGAGGCAATGCCCTGGTGAAGCCATTCCCTTGGGGTCACTGGTGTGCCTGGATTTCTTTTGAGCTGCAATTCCTCACTTAGTGAGGACACACATTGTTTCCCCTGTACCATATTTTGTTTTGTGTCTTGGGGGAATACGAGGGGARGTATTGGGGAAGGAGAAACTGTAAAACTGTAAAGCTCCCACTTATTGTTTCACAAGAGAAACAGTAAATTGGAGGCTAGTGGTTCTCACACCAATAAATTTTTTTATTTTTTTTATGTTGCGGAGCTGAGGATGGAGCCCAGGGCCTTGAGCTGGCTGAGTGCTCTACCACTGAGCTACACCCCCAGCCCCCACACTAAAAAYTTGGAAAGGTACTGTGATTTTTGTATACTGCCAGGCATTTATAAATCTGTGTTGAATGTTCTCTTGTTTTAACATGTCCAGATTTACTTTTGGGAAGAAGAAAGATTCTGTGAATAGACCCTTGTGTCAGTCATTCTATAAAATGATGATGATGATGATGATGATGATACCAATTTTGAAAGTTGTTTTGAAAACTAGATTAATAAATGAAAAATGGTAGAGAGTAATTGAGATGTTACTGTTATCATCACTATTTTCTTTTTGGTACAAGGGATTGAACCCAGGGTGCTTAACTACTGAGCCACATCCCCAGCCCTTTTTATTTTGAGACAGGGTCTCGATAAGTTGCTGAGGGCCCTGCTGATTTCCTAAGGCTGTCCTGGAACTTGGATCCTCCTGCCTCAGCCTCTGAATCTCTGGAATTACAGGTGTGCCCYACTGCACCCCTATCATCTTTATATTAAGAAAGGGGAAAAACAGAATCCTAGGRCCTGTTCTAAGAAAGAAAGCAAAACATCTGGAGGGCCTTTTATACTTGAAAACAGACTCAGGACCAACTAGTATAAGGGCCTGTATGCTTCTTTTCTTGACAGATTTTCTGGGGTTTGGTGAAGTTGGATAGGGCGAGATGTTAAATTAAGCAGTAAATTCTATGCATCTCTGAATTATTTTTAACTTTCTGTCATGTTAGGCCTTAATAGCTGGCAAATGAAAAGTTATGGTTTTGAGTACAAGGGGACAAGGAAAGGTTTCTGTGTTCTGTGACACCACAGTTGGAAGCAGTTCTTGGATCCTAACATTTGAGCTTTTCTATAGCATTCTTTCATCCAGCAAATATTTATTAAGTACTTCCATGTCAAGCACTGTTCTAGGCACTTAGAGTACATCAGTGAACTGAGGAGACAAAAATTGTTGCCCTAGTGATATTTATCTTCTAGTGGGAGGAATACAGTGCATCTTCATAGTTAGATTTGTCTTGTATTATGTATTTATAAATCAAACTTTTCAAGCAGATGATGAGTTTGATACCAAATTGAAACTACTCTTGTAGAGCACTGTGAAGGAAGGGCCATGTCTTCCTCACTCATAATTGTTTCCCCTTGCCCTTCTTCCCAGTGGAAGGGCTGATTTTGTATACTGCCAGGCATAAATACATTGAATTGTTCTGCTGTCTCCTGGTTTATTTTTGTTATCTCCTCTTTGTCCCCCTGAACTGATTAATAGCAAAGCCTTTGAATTTAGAGAGCCTTTAGTGCTCAGCAGATGAAGGTACACATTGTAGGTTTATAACGGGGGAGGTGGCTATGCTCAGGCAGGGGCTGGGTCTGGAAGGAGCCTCTAACTGCAGCAGTTCTCACCAGCCAGCGTACTCACTGGGTTGAGGGGTTGGGGCAGAGAGAAGGTGCT